GGGTGATTTCGAACTTAGGAGCACATCCGGATTGTGATTCGGAGGTCCATAGTTGAATTTGGCTTGAAATGGTGAAAGTTGAAATTTTGGAAAGTTTGATCGGGAGTGGACTTTTTGATATCGGATTTAGATTGTGATTCCGGGAATTGGAATAGCTTCGTTATGTTATTTGGGACTTGTGCACAAAATTTGAAGTCATTAGGGATTGATTTGCTATGTTTCGGCACGAGTTATTGAATTTAAAAGTTTAAAGTTCATAGATTTCGATTTGAGGTGCGATTCATCGTTTCGATGTTATTATGCATGATTTGAGGCCTCGAGTAGGTCCATGTTATGTTATTGGACTTGTTGGTATATTCGGGCGTGGTCCCAAGGGGCTCGGGCGTGTTTTGGATTGATTTCAGAACATTTTGGAAATTTTGGCTAAGGTTCATTGCTGCTGGTTCTAGTGTGACCGCACCTGCGGCTGGTTTGCGCAGGTGCGGTGGTCGCAGAAGCGACAGTGGGGCCGCAGAAGCGGCGAGTGGTGCAAAAGCGAAGATTGTTGGTGCACCTGCGCTTGCGCAGAAGCGAGGGGTTATCCGCAGGTGCAGAAGGGCCAGTCTCCATGGGCTTTGCAGATGCGAGGCATCATCCACAGAAGCGGTGGTCGCAAATGCGACAATTTGACCGCAAATGCGGATTCGCTGGGCAGAATGTTAATAAGTTCGAGGGTTGGTCATTTTTATCACATATTGAGCTATGGACTTCGGAATGGAATGATTTTTGGAGCAAATTTTATTATAAGGATTGGGGTAAGTGTTCTCTACTCAGTATTGATTACATTTCATGAATCTATCTTCATTTTTGGCAATTGGTTGATGAATTTTAGAGAGAAATTGGGAGTTTTGGCCTAAAGTTTCATAATAGGAATTTTTGAGTTTTGAACACCGATTTGGAGTCGGATTTGAGTGAAACTAGTATGGTTGGACTCGTAATTGAATGGGTTGTCGGATTTTGGGAGTTTTGTCCAGTTTCGAGGCGTGGGCCCTGGTGTGATTTTTGGCCGATTTTGGGCTTTTGATTAAAGATTCGACCTTTTCGATTGGGATTGGTTCCTTTAGCATTATTTGATGTATTTGAGTTGTTTTTAGTTAGTTTCGAGCCGTTTGGAGGTCGGAACGTGCGGGATGGCATTTTGGAGCATCGCTTGGCTTGCTCGGTGTTGGTATTGGCTTGTTCGAGGTAAGTAACTCTTCTAAACTTAATATTGAGGGTATGAAATCCCGCATTACGTGCTATGTGATTGATGATGAGGTGACACACATGCTAGGTGACGGGCGTGTGGGTGTGCACCCAGTGAATTGTGACTCTTTTGTTTTCATGGCACTGTTTAGTGGCCCTATTTTGTTGATATCTGTGTTTTCACCACGTGATTAAGTAACTGAACTGTGAATCATGCTAGCTATCATGTTTAGGCCTTATGCTGATATTGTTAGGACCCATAGTGGTCGCTTCTTACTATCATCTCACTGATTTCATTGATATTTCGTACTCAATCATATTCATGCATTCATATTATATATCTGTCTCAGTTGTTACTTATTAATACATCATATCATTGTTCTGTATCAGTTTTCATGACATTGTGAGCCCTTGGGTGAGACTGGAGAGATTGATAACTGAGTGACACCGAGAGCCTGATTATGAGTAACAGCTATGGGATCGGGCTGCACGCCGCAACATGCTATATTGATTTATACCTGGATCTGGCTTATGATAGCGCTTGGGATGTGGGAGCCCCTTCGAAGTCTGTAACACACCCCCAGTGAGCGCGGATGATATTATTGAGGGATGGATTTCCGTGGACATGGATTTGTCCGAAGTACTTGATACCTGGAGATGGATTTCTCCACAAGGTTAGATTGCCCTTTTTCCTCGGTACTGAGTGACTGATGGTCAGTGATATATATATTCTGGGATAGATCTTCCCTGGGCCGTATGGGCTATATACAGTACCGAGTGGTTGAGCATGATGAGTGGAAAGTGTGAGCCAGTGAGATTGAGTACTCTAAGAGTGTGAGTACATGATTCATCTCTGAGATACATGGCATTAGCATGCACACATGACATACATGCATAGAGACGCATTTTTCCTCATGATGTACGGTATCACATCATTTATGACTTTTACACACATTGATATGTGAGCATAGAGAGGTATTTCACACTTGCTATCTGGAAAGGAAATGAAACATCTTACTTATTTTTGGAAAAGATATTTGGAAAGATTTACAGTTTTCAAATTATCTCATACTTTTCGACAATTTCGGTAAAGGATTTGGGTTTTCACTGTTATTCTTGAAAACTATTTTCGGGAAATTGTGATAAAGCTGAGCATTTTATTTATGAATTGCTTTCTTATTTATATGCCCTACGTTGTTATGAACTGCTATTGGTTATTGGTATTGGACCCGACCTATGTTCCAGCTCGTCACTGCTTTCAACCTAAGGTTAGGTTTGTTACTTACTCAGTACATGGGGACAATTGTACTGATACTACACTTCTGCACATTGTGTGCAGATGTTGGTTGTTGTTGTTGCTGTACTCGATGGTTGCCGGATTTGAGGATGTACCTGCGTTCCTATTGTAGTTGCCCCTTGTTCATGGTAGCCTTAGATTTATAAGAACTCTGTTTATGTACTTTTCAAACAGAAGGTGTATTTACTTCATATCAGCTTTTTAAACTCTATTCTTAGAAGCTCATGATTTATACTACTAATTTTTGGGGAATGTATAAGATTAAGACTTTTCATTACTTAATTGCTTTATAAATTATTATTGAAATTGGTTGGTGGTTAATTGGCTTACCTAGCGGATTGGGTTAGGTGCCATTACGACTAGTCATATTTTGGGTCGTGACATTAATTGAAGAGACCCAGATTAAGCAAAAATGGCACGCATACTTTCATAAACTTCTTAATGAAGAGGGGGACGATAACATCGTGCTTGGGGAATTGGGGCACTCTAAGAGTTACCGAGACTTTAGGTACTGTAGGCGTATTAAGGTTGAGGATGTCGTGGGAGCTATGCATAACATGAGTCGGGCCAAAGTGACCGGACTAGATGATATTCCAGTAGAATTTTAGAGGTATGTGGATAGAGCAAGCTTGGAGTGGCTGACTGGGCTGTTTAATATTATTTTCAGAACGGAGAGGATGCCAAATGAGTGGAGATGGAGTACGATGATTCTGATGTACAAGAACAAAGGTGATATCCACAATTGTAACTACTATAGGGTCATCAAGTTACTAAATCATACCATGAAAGTTTGGGAGAGGGTGGTGGAAGGAAGGGTAAGGAGAGTAGTGTCTATATCAGAAAACCAGTTCGAGTTCATGCCGTGCCGTTCTACTAAGGAAGCTCTCCACCTTATCATGAGGTTGGTAGAACCGTACAGGGATAGGAAGAGGGATTTACACATGGTATTTATTGACCTAAAGAAGGGGCATGACAAGGTCCCTAGGGACGTGCTTTAGAGATGCCTGGAGGTGAAAGATGTGCGGGTAGCTTACATTAGAGCAATAAAGGATATGTATGATGGAGCTAAGACTCGGGTTAGGACAATGGGAGGTGACTCTGAGCTTTTTTTGGTGGTTATAAGGTTACACCAAGGATCTGCGCTCAACCCATTCTTATTTGACCTGGCGATGGACACCATAACACACCATATTCAAGGGGAAATACTATGGTGTATGTTGTTCGCTGATGATATAGTTCTGATTAATGAGATGCGAGGCGGCTTAACGAGAGATTGGAGGTATGGAGGCAGGTCTTGTAGTCCAAAAGTTCCAAGTTGAGTAGGACTAAGACGGAATATCTGGAGTGTAAGTTCAACTGCGTGACGGGGGAAGAGGACGTGAAAGTGAGGCTCGACTCACAAGTCATCCCCAGGAGAGAAAGTTTTAAGTACCTAGGATCGATTATCCAGGGAGATGGGGAGATCGACGAAGATGTCACGCACCGTATTGGGGTGGGGTGGATGAAATGGCGGTTAGTGTCTGGAGTTATGTGTGATAATAATGTGCTACCGAAACTTAAAGGTAAGTTCTATAGAGCGGTGATTAGGCCGTCCATGTTGTGTGGAGCTGAGTGTTGGCCAGTCAAGAATTCATATATCCAGAAGATGAAAGTAGCCGAAATGAGGATGTTGAAATGGATGTGCGGACGCAATAGGCTGGATAAGATTAAGAATGAAGATATTCGGGAGAGGGTTAGGCCGTCCATGTTGTGTATTGTTACAGATATATTCTTTTGTTCTTTTCTGATATTATTGTCTCTTCTATTGAGCCGATGGTCTCCCGGAAATAACCTCTTTATTCCTCCGGGTAGGGGTAAAGTCTACGTACACTCTACCCTTCCCAAAACCCACTAGTGGGATTCTACTAGGTTGTTGTTGTTGTTATATGAATTTTTTTTACTTCTATTATATATTGTTGTTAGTTAAGTTCACATTAAGCTTAGAGAGCTTGAATGTTATTTTAGACAACTTCCATCCATATGACTATAGATTTACCTTGTCCCTTTTTATCACATTCAATCATTATAGTACCACACTGTAAGTATGGACGAGTGAATATGGTGGTTTAATTAGACCCTCTAAATGATGTAATTATTCAAACTCTTATATATGAGTGTAAATACCATTTAACACGTAGAAACGACACCGGGTAGTCACTCTAAAGGACTGCTATTTAAGAATTAGCAAGTGCGTTCCGAATTTAGTTTTTCAATTCAAATTTTCGGATAAAAATGTTCTGAATTGTCTTGAAATTAAAATTTTTAGTTTTTAATTTCAAAAAATTAATAAGTATTGGTTAATCTCTAAATAGCATTCCTAAGAATGATAATATGTGTACTTGGTGATATTTTCCTTATGAGAAGGCCCAATCCATAAGAATGGAATTTAATTTTTCAAAAGAATTACTACTTACTATATAGTCGGATTTTGGATAATTCTTTGCTCCTTTCACAGACTCCTCCTTAAACCCCTAACACAGTCGTTCCTAAACAAACACAGAGAGTAGTGAGTGAGGCAGAGCAGATAAAGAGAGTTAAGAATGCAATCTGCGACCCTCTCTTTTCACCCTTCGGCTCCGCCACCCCAAACTTCAGCTTGTCACTTCTCCTCTAATCAGCTTAAATATTCACTCTTCTCATACACTTGTCCAACTCCTAGGCGCTCTCCACTGTCTACTCAAACCCTTTCAAGAAAATCCATTTGCAAAACCCCAGCTGTAGCAGCTGGCAAATATGTCAGAGAGGATTATCTTGTGGTATATTTTCCTTCTTTTTTCTTTTTCTTTTTTCGTTCAATTTCTTTAGCTTCTTAATTTTATTTTAATATTTCGAAATTCGGTTATTGGGTTTTATTCTTCTGCTGGGAACCTTTAGAAAATTTCATATGAATTTGGAGAGTTGGAAATATGTGCGTGCTTTCTTGTACAGAACATTGCGGATAAGGTTCTGTAACACTGGATAAAAAAGTTGTTTTAAAATCATTTCTATTTGTAAATTCTTTTAACAAAGTATTGTGAATTCTTTTAATTCTTTTGTTTCTAATGAACATAACTATGTAACAATGCTAATTCCATTTCTTTTATTTTTTATTGTTTTGGGATTGCAGAAGAAGGTGTCTGCAAAAGATATTCAAGAACTGATAAAGGGAGAACGGAATGTGCCACTGATTATTGACTTCTATGCCACATGGTGTGGTCCTTGTATTTTGATGGCTCAAGAACTTGAAATGGTTGGTTTGGATTTCATACGACAATGTCTTAAGCTTTTTTTAGTTACTGCTACAGATGCTATAATTAGTTCAAAGTTGGGATTGTTGGAATGAATGCTCTAGAGGATTGTACCATAGTTCAAATGGACTAGATATCTTTACATGGAATGTACAAGTTTTCGTTTATCTAAACCTCATATATGAGGACAAAAACATCTTTGGTCTTAGAGTGGAAGAAGCGAGGGTGTGGGTTTGAAGTGGTCTAATTTAATGGAGTGGACATTTTTCTATCAAAGTCAATAGTGTATGTAAGTTAGACCAGATAACTTTGGAATAATCACCATTTGTCAATCCTGGTAGGCTATCCTTCTGAACTCTAGGGAAACCTTACACTCATTGTTATGGTATATTTGAAAATATATCAAGTCGAATCTGCACAATTCTAAGTGCCTACACTCAATTATTGAAAAGATAGAGATAACTCTCAGGTGATTATGATAGTTGTTTTATCGTCAAGCTACCATAGCTTTCACTTGCTTGGGAAAAAAACTTGTGTTGACCTTTTCTTAGGAGTTCATGGTTTCTCTGATAAAAATGAATATAAGTAGAATAGTAGACAAAGTGCATATTGAGATGTTAGTGATATATTCACTTTTCCTAGTTGCTTATTTAACTGTGTCACATTGATGGTGGTGCAAATCGTCCATTATCTAGCTAGTATTAATATGTGGAGTGATAAAAATCTCTATGAGCAGAGGGTTTGTGTTAAATGGATGAGTGCTTCTATGCAGTAAAAGAGAACTATCAGCTAAAGAATAACTATTCTTGTTGCAAACTTCTTTAGAATTAAAAGGTTGTACATTGAAACATTTTAAGTTGAGAAGCTATAAACAACGAAGTTATGGTCTGCTGTCTAGTAAATTTTACCTACTTTTGTATTTGAAAGAAGATTGGTGTTAACCTTAACATTTTGTTATAGTGCGTAATTTCTCAGAGGACTGCGCCTGAAAGCCTAAAATAAATAGCATGTCACAAATTGCAATCAAAGGATTCACTTACTTGTAGCTTTTATTGAGTTTATCCTCTTGAATTGGAATTAGCAAGAGTAAACTCCCCTCTGTTTATGTGATTGCAAGATTGGAGATCCTGCAATCTAATTCAAGTTTAGCTGATATCTTTGAAAACAATAGGAGATGCAGAAAGTATCAAAAGATCTTTTTTAAAGTCAGGTATACTTTTGGTGTATAAGAGATTCTCACCTTATGCATGTGTAGTTGGGCTAGTCAGTTGGATGGTTGTGAGAAAGAGACACAAAACCAAATATAAGTACTTTTGGCACAATCTTGGTGTCATTATTATGAAATATTTTCCACTTATCCCCCAAAAAATTATGAAATCATTGGCTAGAAAGATTTTGCAAATTCAGATATTTATGCGTGCATCTCTATATAGCTCAGAGGTCTTTGTTATTAGAGTTGATCTTTCTACTAATAAGGAGAGAATAATGGCATTACTGATTTGAGACATATGCTTCTTGCTTTGCAAAATTATTCTTTTGTATAATTCCAATTTCATCTGACAGCTTGCTGTAGAGTATGAAAGCAATGCACTTATTGTGAAAGTGGACACAGATGATGAATACGAATTTGCACGTGATATGCAGGTACAACCCACTCAAAATTTGTTCTATTTCAATACTAATACCAATTATGAAGAAAAATATGTGTTTTCTCCCCCGTCACTCTAACTCCTTGTTCTCATCACATATTCTGCTAACTGAAATAATCATTTCTCAGGTTCGAGGACTACCAACGTTGTATTTCATAAGTCCAGATTCAAATAAGGATGCTATTAGAACCGAAGGACTCATCCCAATACAAATGATGCGGGACATCATCAATAATGATTTGTGATGAATAATTCATTAGTGGAACTGTGCATGCCATCCTCTTTACTGGAGCTCAAGTTTGGTATCTGCCTAGCAGTTGTAACGCAAATTTCGCATCTAAAATAATTAGAACAAGTAGTGCAACAAAATGCATTATCTGATGTTAAAATAGAAATGAGTATTTACAAGCTCTCTAAATTGAAACACACTGTTCTTTACTCTTCACGGATGTTCTCAAAGGCTAGCTAGCTGGTCTTTGATTTTGATTTAAGGTTTGATCTTGAATTATACTCAGCATTCGGTTGAAGGAGTTTCTAGTTAGATTCTGAATTTATATTATATGCAATGAACATTTCAACCATAGTCATGAACAAATAATTTGGATTTAATACCGTGCATAAATAATTCTAGCTTTGGGAAAAACATATTTTCTATCTCTATAATTTAGGTACCTATAGATTTGTCCTTTCGTTTCACAAGTTTGGACAGACATTTCATAAAACTCCGAACATGAAGGAAGGATTCTTGGAGACCCAATCATATACTCTTAAGTTCAACAATATAAGAGGAAAGGCATTAAATTCACATGCTTCTCTATTCAAACGGCTAAATAAAATTTTACAAAATTATGAGCAGTGGCCTCAGCATTTTTTTTAAATGACAAGATAGAGGAGAGAAATGTTCAAATCTAGTGTAAGTGAACTATGTTTGAAAGCTATGAGACCCAAAAATTTCCTTGTGATTTGTACAGAATATAAAACAAACATTTTCCTGTTAATGCAGCTAAAGGAAACATTATGCAGAAAAATCCCCAATGCGGACCCCAACGATGACCACATCTGTCTAAATTCAGCAATGACCCCAAATCCATCCCAACTTCTTTGTAACTTTTTACCCCTCTCTATCATCCCGTCTACTCTGGGTACATCCGTCTTCATGGCTGTCAACTGCCCTGGGGCAGCCTCTAATCTAACGCCATCGCACACCCAGCACATTGACTGCCTCCCATTTATATATAAAAGAGGCTAAGGGGTTGCCCTGCTCGCTATCTAGTGATAGGAGAAGTAAAAAGACAAATGCTTCACTGATCATTGCGCTCATCAAGAATAATATCAGCAGGGTCTCCAATCCATGGACGCCCTTCTCTCCATTGAAATTTGATTCTTAGCTTCCCATTAGCATCTACTCCAACAACCTCACCTCTACTCGCATGAGTCTCCATCCCCCATCCCCACCTAGGTGCCATCAGCCCATCTCTGATCTTCACCTTGTCCCCAATTTTAAATGCTCTAATTCTTTCCATTTCCGAGGCCTTGCAGAGCCATAGCCTATCCATAAAGCAGAATGAAACCCAAAGATCACCATCTTCTATGCGGTGCACGACCCCCATACTAGAATGACAGACATCCCCCCACTGGTGTGTTGGGTTAGACACATTCTCCTTAACCCTGACCCAATCACCAACTTGGATTTCCTCTTCCTCAACAAGGTCTACTTCTGAAGGATCAAGCATCCAAGATTTCGAGCCTGCTGGTGTGTAGATTCTTAATTTGCCATCTGCATCAATTGCTGATATATTTCCAACACTTGCATGACTGTGATTTGACCACCCAAACCTTGGCTGCTTCACAGAGTTTCTTACTCTAACACGCTGACCAACTAAGAGCTTATTCACTCTCTCAAGATGGCTGCAATATCCCACCCATTGGTCCTGCTCTCCACAAAAGGCGACAAAGATATTACCATCCCACTTATCTCCTTCATAACTCATTCCTTGCACAACTCCAATGCTACCTGGCCCTACAGATTTCCAACCGCTTGCAATCTCTCTCAACTTGACCCACTCTCCGACTTCAAATGTTGGCTCTATCTCAAGGTCTGCAGGATCTGCTTTCCAGAGACACTGCAAACCAAAAAATGCAACCCTAACTTCTCCATCAGCATTAACACCAGTTATAACACCTCGAGAATCTGGATTAGTGCCTCTCCAGCCCCATCTTGGTTCTACCAGCCCAGCCCTAAACCTAACATGCTGCCCAATTCGAAATCCAGAAACCTTTTCAACGTCAGTGTAATGAGTCATCAGTCGTCCTTTACGAAAACAGCATGCAAGCTCTAAATAACCAGTGTCTAGAACACTATGCACAACCGCTAGACTTTCTTTCCCAATGCTATACCAATCATAACTGGGTCTAGTTCCCAGGCTTGGTTTAGAATGTACCCAATCACCTACTTCAAATCCTGAAAGCCTTTCTGCGTCTCCAGGAGAAACCTTCCACAAACTGTCTCTCCCAGCAACCTTAACCTAGAAAGCATCAAAGGTCAAAGGTTTGAAGCAATTCATTAAAAATAATAACTAATGAATTGGAAGTCAATTCAACCTTCACTATATTTTATGCCTACTTATAAGGTCAATAGATTCTTTCCACCAAATTTTAAGTGATACAAGCAAAGCATGCTTACGTTTAGAGCACTATCCATGTCAATTCTCACAATCTTTCCAACCGTTGCTGGTGTCTCACTGGACCATCCAAGTCGGGGCTGAGAAACGGATGGCAAAACATGAATTTCTTGTCCAACTTCAAAAGGTGGCACCTTCTCCACATCTGTCACTGAACAAGAGAAAGGCTTGCTCCGGAAGCAAAAAGCAATGCCAACATCACCATCTTCTTCCAAACTGTGTATTATACCTACGCTGTTCCTCGTGATATCCTCCCAACCATATTTTGGTGAGGGAACTGAAGCTTTTACCCTTACCCAGTCACCTACCTGTTAATGTGCACAGAACAAACAAAGTTGTTTGAGAACGCTACCAACACGCTGTTTATATTTCACACTTAACTTTTTTTCTTCCATTCTCATTTCCACAACCCCCAAAACAGAACGAAAGCTCCTAATTACCAACAACATCAGCTAGCATCCTCATTATACAACAAAATATTGATCAATTACAAGTATTACCTTGAAATCCTCCAGCTTCTCCATGTCAGAAGGATCTGCCTGCCACGGGATTGGTCGATTGGGGATTTCGATGATCAACAGACCATCAGCCTCTATATCAATTATTTTTCCTACACTATGATGTGTTTCACCACCCCAAGCATATCTTGGCTCTGCGACAGTGCGCTTCACACAGACCCTATCAGCAATCTGTGAAAAGGTACAGAATGTAGAATTTAACCAATGGACAGGATAAGGAATTCTGAAAAAGGTAATCTCTCTGTTTCATTTAGTATGGTAGTACTTGACTGGACACTGGAGTTTAAGAAAAAAGGACTTTCAGCATAGTACCGTTAGAACTTGTGGAATGCGGTCTTAAACATGACATGACATTTCATATAAAATGAAACAGAGGGGAGTAATGAACTATCAGACATCAGTGAAGTTGTTTGTCTTACTCTGAATGGCTCAACAGGTTCAACCTCTTCTGGTTCACAATGCCATGGATGAGGAAGATAGCTTAGTTCCACCATCAGACTACTGTCGGGCTTGATACAGTACACTACACCAATGCTTCCTGGCGTTGCAGATCCAAATCCATGTTTAGCTGTTGTGAGTGTAGGACGAATCCGAACCCAATCTCCAACCTTAAATTCCTCCACACGTTCCATTTCCGCAGGATCAGCTTTCCACCCTCTAGATGCTCCAGGAAACCCAACACGAAGCACCCCATCCTCATCAACACATAAAACAGTTCCTATGCTATCATGGGCATGGCCGCGCCAACCAAATCTGTAGCAAAAGCAAAGCTAGTTACAATTAGCTTCTCAAAAATGCTAATGCATTCCTGAGTCAGCTTGAAAATTTTCAACTTAAACCTTGTAAGCAGAAATTGGCAAGACAAAACTACGGGACAGGAAACTTGACTAATCTTATAACTAATACATTTTTTGTTTATCTATGCTGTATTTAAGAGCCGCACTATCCTGTTTAATCCTCCTAATATGGGGAGCAGTTCCAGAGGAACATCATGCTTAAGGCTAGGGCTGTGCATAATATGGTAAATACCGAATTACCGTACCGAAACCGAAAATTTTGGTATGTGATATTTGGTATTTGGTATGGCATTTGGTTTAAGTTTTTAAAATAATTTGGTATTAGGTATAGTATTTGGTATTTAAAAAAGTAATATCGAAATACCGATACCGTACCGAAATATATACTAAATTACACATTACACATATTATTGATTAATACTAAGTTGCACAATACTTTTCTTTGGCATTCATGTTGAGGTTGGCAGTAAAGTCCATGTACTTCTTTAGGAAAATAGAGGAACAAGGTAGGATACAGATTCTAATTCTTACTCTCCAGGTTGCCAAGCAGTTTAACATAATATTTCAATAGTTTTAGGGTATTTTTTACTCCGTTACTCTTGTATTGTTGTTGCATGTGTTGGATTAGTCGTTGTTGTGTTCTCTAATTTCAATAGTTAACTCTAAGCAAGTAGCATGATATTTCCAATGATCAAATGTATTCCTTTATGCCTTTTTTCTCTTAGTTCATACTTGATGGTTTTGGACAAAAATTTTATCAACAGTCAGGTGAGCATAGAACGTTTTCATTGAGTACTTTAATTAAAAAATTATAGTCTATGGCTCTATGCACTAGTTAATATTCAACCCGAATAAACCGAAATTACCGGACCGAATAAATCGAAACTAAAAGGATAAAAGCAGAACCATACTGAATGTAATTAGGTATGGTATTGGTATAACCTTTTAAGAAACCGAATAACGAAAATACCGAACCGAAATGACTAAATACCGTACCGACCGACGAACACCCCTACTTAAGGCCTGGTTTTTTTTGGGTGGGGGTGGGGGTGAGGAATTAGATTTTGGTTAGATAAGTGGGTGAAAGAGGGCAAGCTGAGGGATAAATTTGCATACTTTGTACAGCATAGCTATAAATAAAGTTGTATTGCTGATATAATTTCTGACTCTGGTTGGCAGCTGCATTTTAGAGGATGTTTTTAATGATGGGAGATTGGGGAAGTTGGTAGCTATTGAACTTTTTGGAAACAGCAAATCCTAGATGCCAATAGTAGGAACTCACAGATCTGACTGGCCAGTAATGATGGTGTTTTCACAGTCGAGAGTTGTTATAGCTTGATGTTAAAGCAGGAAGGTAGTGGGATAAGGGAATGGAAATGGAAATTGTTAAGGAAAAAGGTTCCGCCCTAAGCTTCCTGTTTCGGATGGATTGATTCTTACAGTGCTTGTTTGACTCACAATTTCCTATAGAAATAAGGTATTTCTATGTGCACTAAGAGCAAAAAGGACATAAGAAGAAGCGCATAACCCT